GTCTACAAGTGGGCCTAATAACTACCATGATTTCTAATCAGGGAGGAGCATAGATAATATTTTGAGATATCTGTGGCAACCGTAGTGTGATATGAAATTACCTATGTTATTTGTGACAAAATGACAGCTATTACTAATCCGTCTTTCCTACATTGAATGCAATGCTACATTTCACCTAGAGGCATTTAAAAGAATAAAGATGTATTTTTTCCCCAATCTAAGTTCATACATATGTTCCAGGTTAAGAATCACAAGCAGAAAAATGAGTGGTTATGCAGAATGGAGCTATTTGTCTTCTTCCTGTCACTCTAATTTTAAGAGGAAGGATCATGTTGTTTGTGAACATTAATCACGTTAAAATACACAAAACAGCCCGGGCTGGTGTGGTTCAGTGGTTAGAGCACCAGACTGTGTATGGAAGGGTCTCGATTTCCGGTCAAGGGCACATATGTGGGCTGCTGTCTGGGTACGTGTGGGAGGCAACCAGTTGATTTGTCTCCCTCATGGGATGTTTCTCTCCCTTTCCCTCCCTCCCTTCCACTCTCTAAACAAAAATTCAATGGAAAAATACCCTCAGGTGAGGATTAACAACAGCAAAAATTCACAGAACACTTGGATCACATGCTGAGCCTGTCCCCCAAGGTCCCGCCAGCCCTGAGGCGGGGCTTTGAGTGCCTGTGGTCAAGGAGGCAGAGCTCTTTCTTCCTCTTTGCCTTCTTTTTCTTCCTTAATTAAATGCTTCTTCTCTTAGGGAGCAAGTAATTTTTTTTCATGCTTTGCTATCGAGAAAATGACATTCTATGTCACAGGAAAGAAATTAAATGGGTGGTGGAGAATGGAGATTTGGAAGATATTTAGGTCAGATCATTGATGTGATGATATTTGGCAATACGTCATGTGGAAATTCAGGGAAAAATAATATTAAGGTGTCTATATTTTCATTTCCTCAAGGGAAGTTATAGAATCTGTGTTAGCATGAACATCCTGATACAGAAAACCAATCCAACAATTGTGACTTAAAGAAATCCTGTAAGTGAGTAGATTGTATAGTCCCATAGATCTTCTACAACTTTAATTGACTAATCTGCCTTCAAGATTTCAGTGAGTGCTTCCCAAACACTGAGATGGTACCCACTGTTATAAAAAGTGAGGCGACCACTGCTTAAAATTCAGAGAAGTGAAATAGACTCAAGTTCCCCAATCCATTGTAGATTTAGCATTACTCATATTTCATTTTTTAAAAAAAAGCCTTCTCTATATAAAAATAGTGCTCTTATTTAACTTGCTGTCATGAAGACAAATTGAGCTACTCGTCAGGATAGTAAAACAGACCTTTGTTCAGACGTAGTCAGTAAAAAGTCCAGCTATGTTGGCATTTTGCAGGGTTTGCATTAAAGCAAGAGAAATGATAACTTGCTGAAGAGCAAACCAGGCAAAACACATCCAAGTTCAAGAGAAAGTTGAATCTGGAAGCAAAGTCTGAGTTATTTCAAGATGACAAGAAAATTGCACCTGGGTTCTGTTGTGACCACAGTGAATTTGATTCTATTACTTTGCCATGTGGGACCAAGGAGAATTCCATGAGGTTTGTAGAAAGGACCCAAGGTATATTAATGCAAGTGGGAGTAGATAAAAATACATCAATAACTAGGTACTGCTGGTTATAATGGAAGTTGTTGGTCATCACAGAAACTCTGAATTAATTTTCAGTGTAGAAAATGCATTGGAAATAGCTGATTGAAACTTTTAGAAAACTGAGGCGAAGACTGTAAGGCACAAGAAATATTCACCATCGTGTGAATGTTCCATTCCATATAACTGATAATCTTAGATGTAATATGTTTTGATATTTCTTTCCTCCTTCACTGACCAGCCACACTTATTTGTAGTTGTGTATATGTATTTGTGTATGGTGCTGGTGTGTCTGTTAAGAAAATGAGATTCATGGATGTGAATTTTAATTTAACCAGGGCTTTTAGGTATATAGTGAACATATATCAGTTTGGAGGATTTTTGCAGTTATTTATTAGAGTTCTTGGTGGAGTGAACGGAGTTAAGCACAGAGCTATATCTATATGCCTCAGGCTGAATCCCCATCAAAACGCAGAGCTCAAGGCCCAGACCTCCCTTGACATTCATAAACACTAATGATGACTGTGATCTTGGTGAGCCCAATAGTTACAAGGACTCTTGGAAAATCTCCAGTTATGTACAAATACCCTGGCAATTGTGCACTCATACTGTGAAGCTTTTTTGTAAGTTTTAGATGCAATGCCGGATACATGGATGAGGGAACAGGCTTGGGAGGTAACAGCTATCAATAGATTTTTAGACAGACTTAGCATTGAATCTTACTTCACTGCTTTCTAAATGGATCTTGGTCAAACTACTTAACATCTCTGAATACCAGTCTCCCCAATCTAATGAATTAGTGGAATTAATAATATCTACTTCACAGGGTGAACATTAATGAAATAAAGTATTAAAATATTGAGCACAATGTCAGAACTCAATAAATGTTTCCTCTCTTACAATCTTCCCATTTTACATGAAAATTAAGGCAATTGTCTGTCTTTCACACACGGCCTCTCAGGGGTAGAGCTCCCATAACATATGTATCATTGACAACACTAGAAAGAATTCACTGAAAATAAAAGCTTGTGATCAGTGGTCAGGTTTTGCCTTCACCCGATCAGTGCTCCAGGGACATACAACTCTTTCTATATTAGGGCGTGAAATGATTTAACTGTGATGTTCTGTGCTATTGCTAACGGGGCATGTAAGGATGTTACCTGGGCAGTGTCCTTGCTCTGTGGGAGCAGGGAGTTCCTCTTCATCTACCTTCTAAAAAAATGTATAGTTTTCTTCCTCTCTTCCCTTTGCTGATTTCACCAAGGAAAGAACTAACAACACGATCTCAAAAGCAGACATTTCAAAACATTCCAGACCTAGAGGGAAAAGAAGGTCCTGGCATGTCCAGAAGGGGTTTCCGACTGGCTGGAACCAATCCCTTAAGTCCCGAGGGAGGAAGATTCCGTATCAGCCACACTAAATGTTAGGACTTATTGTGAATAACTGTGCCTAGTAAAATTTATTTTGAAAAGCATATTTAAGCACTTTTATAAAATAATACAGATCTGTGATTAAAAAAAAAATCATACTGTAGATTTAGCTTGCTTAATGCTCTTGTGGCTCCTGCACTTCTGTTCACTACTGTGAGGTCTTTGGGATGACTTTTATTGCTTTAAATAGTATACTTATGCTTTTGTTTATTGCTTCAATACCTATAAATGACATCTTGTAGCACCCCACTTTATAAATGAGAATATTACCTTTGCTATTCTTATTTTTACCTTTTCTTTCCCTCTTCTACCCCTTTCATCAGAATTTTTACTTTTTGATGATTAAGGTCAGCCTCAAATGTAAAAGAGAGAGCAGTGGGCCCTCAGGCCAAAAAGTCAGAATCAAAGACTTAAAGGAACATGATTATTTTAAACAGTGTAATTGCTCTGGCTTTTGCGTCTTCGACTGTTTACCACAGGGTTCTCAAACTCTGGTGTGTATGAGAACTACCCGGAGTGTTAACACGTTATGTAGTTGCTAGCACTCAAGCCCTAGAAATTCTGGTTCTGTATCTCTGGGGTGAGCAAGGAAATCTTCATGTTTACCATGCGTCACGGATAATTCTGATGCAGGTGACTCTCAGAGCACATTGTTCAAAATATAAAAATAATATCCTTTCTCTTGGTGATGAATAGTGACACTCCTTTTGGCCCAAGGTAGCAGAAGATGCCATTCCATGTGGAGCCATGTGCATCCTAAGTCTAGTGGAATGGCCAGTTTATCTAGAGACCACACATAGTCGTATGGCTCTGGAGTGGCTGGAAATAATTGGAACCCGACAGGTGGGTCTAGGAAATAAATTTGTGGTGATGGAAAACTTCACCCATCATGCACAGGCTGGTGCCTTGGGGTAATATAAGGCACCAAGTTGTCAAAAACCCTGAAGGAGATCTTTTGGTGAAAACCAGCTGCCTTAGGAAACAGTTCACCTAATCTTTGGAGAGGTAACTAGAGGTGCTCCCAGGAAGACAGCTAATCTGATAGGTTTACTAAAACCTAAAAAAAGACATTGTGGATAATTTCCCTGAACAGAAGAGATGATGGAGCTAGCACATGGTATTCCAGGTACATACATCTAATACACTAGGAGAAATGCCACTGGGATTTTCCTTTAATTTTGATATCATGGCAGAAACTTTAGGTGGTCATCCTTCTTGACTTTTGGATGGGAAAGGGCCATACTATAGGGAAACTCACTTCATTTGCAGCTAAGTTCAGGGACAAATTATAGAATGTGACAGATGTTCAGCTCCACCCAAACTAGGGAGGGTCCAGTCAGGAAAGGAAAGCCACTACTGAGAGTGCTCTGAATTAAGGTGTCTTACATGTTTGCAGACTTTGGGGAAGCAAAGATCCAGAAGGGGGCGCAGGAAGATCAGAGAAACAGTACCAACCAGTCTTCCTGAATTACTGTTATGGGTGAATGGCTCATAGGGCTTGCAGGGAAATAGGAGAAATCATGCAAAAATCAAGAAACCCTGGCTCTGATTCTTCTGCAGCAGGGCAGAGCAAAGAACAGAAATGCCACTGAGATTTTCCTTTAGATGAATTGGGTGTTGGTGGTGGTGGGGCAACTATGCATAAGGATTTTAAATGCTGCTCGAGAGGACTGTGCAACAGGGCTGGACTCCTGGCTGTACAGGGACAGAAGGACCAGATGTGCCTGCTGGAGGAACATTCACTGCTGCTGTCTCTTTAAGTGGAGTTGGTTTGCTCAGCCTAGACTGATGTCATCCAAGGAAAGCTGTGCTCCTCCCTCCCAGGGAGAGAGAACTGCAGGCATCGGCCGCTGCTGGAAGAAAAGCCAGACTATACTTGTTCTGGCTTTTACATTTCTTTCTACCTCTGCTCCCAACCTGGAGGGACCCCATCAGAGTTAGAAAATCAGTTGGGAGGAGAGGCAGGAAGGTGGGAAAATAGAAAAGAAGTTCAATACAGTCCCCTTCCCCCCAAACCGCCATTATAGCCTCCTGAGCTTGTCTATATCCTGGGGGAGGCGTGATGTTTTACATAAAATTCAGGCTTTTTAGAAAATGGCACTAGGCTAGATGTATTTATTAATATTCTTACATTTGAAAGTGAGTGGAGGTATTCTTACTATCTAATAGTGATTGAAGATGTTATGGACTTTATCAGAAATTTCATGCAGGGATAAAAAAAAGAAATTGGCTTAGATAAGTTTAACAGGCCGCAGAGCAAAAAATAAAGTTATTGTCTGATTGAGCTCTATGGGCCTTGGATGTTCAGCTTAGCAGTTACCTTCCTTGGTAAAACTAACTAACTAACTAACTAAGTAAATAAATATTAGGTAAAGCATAGTAGGTAGAACAAGCTCATTGTGAACACGTATTTACTTTAAGAAAGGGCTTAGTACAGGGACCTCATTTTATTTCGATTTGCTTTATTGTGCTTCACAGGTGTTGGCAGTTTTTACAAATTAAAGGCAAGACTCTCCACCAGCTAAAAGATTATGACTCCCCTTATGGCCACACTTGCTTTCTTGTGCTGGTCTGGAACTGAACCCACAGCATCTCCGAGGTATCCTGTACTTGGAAGGTTTTACTGAGGTAGGTAAATGCAATTGTGCGGAGTTCTAGAGGGAGCAGATAACACAAATTGTGCCTGTTGCAGAAGAAAAACTTGCTGAGTGGCACTGGGCTGCTGCTGTGCCTCCAGCCACTCTGTGGTTTTCAGAAAGCGCCTGCCTTTAGTCTCCTTTGAGGTTTGGCTTAGGCAGCAGCTAAACCTGTAACTTGATTCTTCGACTGCTCCAGGGGTTTCAAAGAGTCTATTGTTTTGCTGTCTTCATCTTTCTCCAGCCTGTAAAATTCATGCAATTGAGTTGAAATGTCTGTTTTCTACTCAAGACTGTGGAAAAGGGAATCACAGGGTAATGTCATCCGTCTAAATTTTTAAAATCTCGACCTCCTTTTGCCTGAGTTGATAAACTTCTGTATGCTCCGGATCCCTTTAGTATAGAGTTGAAAGTGATATAGCTTATTCAAAACAGGAGAAAAATCTTAGACATAAAAATAGGAATGAAAGTGGAATATGACTTTAAAATAACCTTCATCTCTACCCTACCTTTGGATATCATTTTAATTCTTTTGCTAAACCAACCCCAACCATATCCTCCAAATAATCTTTAGGAAAAGATTGGTTCTTAATTGTGTTATAATAAACATTTTTGTTAAACTCTATGTTTTTGAACATAAAGAAAGAACATATGTAAAGAAATTCTGAGAACGAAGCATTTTGCTGAACTAAAATTGTATTGCTAGTTCTTTTGAGCATTGGTTTCTACTCATGCACTATGTATAAACTCTCCAGGGACAAATAAAAAAAGACCACCTGAGGAAACTCCTGTCTTTCTAGCTGGGTCACCTGTGCTGAGGGGTGGGGTGGGAACTCTCAGGGTTAAAATACATGTACTGGTTAAGCTTCTTGTGGTATCCTCAGCAGGCAAGTCTACCCGTGAGGCCAAATGAAAGAGCTTACTAGGCTCTCACCCAAGAATATAAACCCCAATTGTTCTAGTCCAGCCTTTTATGGGACACTATGCAGCTGTAGAAAAGAAAAGAAGGCTCTCTTACCTTTTGGGACAGCGTGGAGGGACCTGGAGAGTATTATGCTAAGCGAAATAAGCCAGGCAGAGAAAGGCAAGTATCACATGATCTCTCTTATATGTGGAATCTAATGAAAAAAATAAACTGATGAACAAGAAAGATCCAGAGACATTGAAGCATGGAATAGACTGATGTATTTCAGAGGGAGGGGGGTGGCAGGAAGAGATTAACCAATGGACCTATATGCGTATATGCATAGTCCATGGACACAGACACTAGTTTGGGGAAGACCTGGAGAGGGGGCTGGAGTAGGGAGGAGGGGGTCAGTGGGGGAAAAAAGGCAACATCTGTCATACTTTCAACAATAAAGATAAATTTTGCCCAGCAGGGTGTGGCTCAGCGGTTGAGCATCGACCTAGGATCCAGGCGATTGGGGTTCGGTTCCCGGTCAGGGCACATGCCCGGGTTGCGGACTGCAGCCGATCAATGACTCTCTCAGCATTGATGTCTCTATCTCTCTCTCTCCCTCTCCTTTCCTCTCTCTGAAATCAATAAAGATATATTAAAAAAAAAACAAAAAAAAAAAAAATAAAAGTGTTTTACTTATTAAAAAAATTAAAAAATAAATATAAATTTTAAGAAATGCTCCTTTAAAAGAAGCATCTATTAGAAAAGACGATCTCAGGGAAATAATTGCCATCGACACCCCAGCAGGCTCTAAGTTGTGCCCTTGAGTCAGATTCTGTGGCTGAAAAGCAATGGACTTGGTGATCAGTTTTGCCCTTTCTGGACCCTCCCTTCTCTCTGGTTTACAGCAGTCGCAACAAGAAAGACACATGTGAAATTTGCTCCTTCATTTCCTTCTGACACCATCTATTACGTTATTTAATGTGCCTTTTATAAGTTGTCATGGGAGGCATTCTTTTAGAATTTGGTTCCAGGGGTAAAATAAAAACTTGCCTCCGCTTGGGGACCTCATTGCTAAACATCTTTTTTTGTTTTTTCCAATATAGGAACTTGCTATGATTTATCTGCTTATATTTTATTTTCATGGTACTGAAATGATATTGCATTTTATTAATATTTTAAACTTACATTTTGTATGTTGTTTCAAGTTATTTTTGAGAAAGCTTAGAAGTTAACAAATTACACAAATAATCCTCTGCAATTTGCCTTTTTTTTCTCCATAGTCATGGAGATAACGCTGCCTACTTCATGGTGCTATTGTGGGGATCACAGAGGTAACAGATAAAACATTTAAAACAAACCTCACCTCCCCACCTAAAAGTAATGATTGACTATACCTTCAGTTCATTTATTCTCTATGCGATACCTAACGATGCACCTTGCCCAAACAGTGCTTTTATTTTATTTATTACAATTTTATTGTTACTATGTATAGTTATAGCAAAAATCAAGCCTTTATTATATAAGTATATATCTTCACAGTAAAAATAAAATAACTGATTGATTCACTGATTTTTAAAAACATATCTCCAACTTACTCATTATTTTCTTAAGGAAAACATAGTCTGATTTTAAGATGTGGTTGAATTTTGATGCTAGAATTCAGTATATTCAAATTTAAAGTCAACTTTGAAAATCTGAAAGAAATTGGTATCATTATTAAGCAAAGCCACGTAAAGCGTATTAGGTGGGTATGTTTCTGTGAAATGGAAGGAGGAGCAGTAAGTAGGCTTCGAAGACTTTGGGGTTGATGAGGGCATTAGTGCCCCCCTGTGTATTTAGTTTTGTTGTTTTCCTCTCCAATTTTTTGATATGTAAGCTGCTCAGTTTAAAGGAATGTTGATACTCTCCAGATGACTAAAGCATGGTCCATGAATCTAAGGAAATGTTCAATATTTTATAGTCAAGAAAAATAGATTTTGTATCTTGACCTTTAAGTTAAGCTTTTCTTTTCAGAACTATATTACCTTGTAAAGTACACAGGGATCTGGAGCCAGCTTGTGACCTTTTGTTAACATGCAGTTTTGAGAGATGGGAAAAAGACGTTGCATAGATCAGGAATTTTATCACCCAAAAGAATTAGGAGCCCATGGCAAGTTCTGCTTTTCTTAGAAAGACAGCTAGCCATATAATTTTGGGGACAGATGTTGTTCTGTTTTGGAGAATGTGGTGAGTAATTCCTGCAACGCCATCCCCAAACCTCCTTGTGAAGTGAGAAGCAGTTAGATTGTGGAAGGTGACGATGGAAGATGAGGTGAGGAAATGTTTGGCATGTTGCTCTCAGGAACACCCGTGAAAGTTGTTCTTATTAAAGCCCTCTTGTGTAAAATGTAGCAGACTCTATTTAATGCTCATTGAAAATTCTCCTAGGGGATTAAGAGTTTACCTGTGATTGGGGAAGGATGTAAACTAGGTGGGACGAAGGTATAATTACATATCCATGGAGCCAGGATCCCCAAATGGTTTGTATTAACAGTTGATCCTGGGGGTGCTACCTTCAAAACATATCCAGAATCCAACCTCAGCCCCTGTTGTCACCTGGAACAAGCCACCACCACCTGTCCACATGGATTATTGCAAAGCCACTGAACTGGCTTTCTAGTGCCTACCCTTGCCTGACTTCTTGTGGCTAAAAAACAAAATTCAATCCAGTACATTTGAAGATCTAATTAGCTTATTAAGCAATTCAAGAATCTGGCAGCATCCCATCTAACAACTCTGAGGGATTGCACAAAATAGAAGGCTTTTATAGAAAAAAGGCTGGGGCAGGGAAGCTATTAACAAAAGAAAGGGTGTGTTCCTAGGTGGCTCCTTGACCTCATCTCTATTGCTCTCCCTGGTGCACTCTGCTCCAGCCACATTGATGTTTCTTTTATATATATATATATATATATATAGTTGTTGTTGTTATTGTTCAAAATATTACAGATGTCCCTTTTTCTCCCCAACGACCCATTCCACCCCATCCCACTCCCCTCCCCAGTCCCTCTCCACACCATTGTCCATGTCCTTGGGTTGTGCATATATGCATATAAGTTCTTTGGTTACTCTCTCCCCCTCCACCCACCACCCTCCTCCATCCCTCTGAGATTCGTCAGTCTGATCTATGCTTCCATGTCATTGAATTATTTCTGTTCATCAGTTTATTAAGTTCTTTAGATTCCACATATAAGTGAGATCATGTGATGTCTGTCTTTCTCTGCCTGGCTTATTTTGCTTAGTATAATATTTTCCAGGTCCTTCCATACAGTTCCAAAGGGTATGAGATCCTTCTTCTTTACAGCTGCATAGTATTCCATGGTGTAAATGTCCCACAGCTTTTTTATCCACTCATCTACTGATGGGCGCTTGGGCTGTTTCCAGATCTTAGCTATTGTAAACTGCACTGCTATGAACATAGGGGTGCATAGATTCTTTCTGATTAGTGTTTCAGGATTCTTAGGATTATTCCTAGAAGTGGGATCACTGGGTCAAAAGGCAGCTCCATTTTTAATTTTTTGAGGAACCTCCATACTGTTTTCCATAGTGGCTGCACCAGTCTGCATTCCCACCAGCAGTGTACTAGGGTTCCCCTTTCTCCACACCCTCGCCAGCACGTGTCATTTGTTGATTGTTGATGGAGCCATTCTGACAGGTGTGAAGTGACACCTCATTGTGGTTTTAATTTGCATCTCTCTGATGATTAGCAATGTTGAACATTTTCTCATATGTCTCTTGGCCATCTGTACACACATTTAGAAAATTTATATGGAACCAAAAAAGACCCCGAATAGCTGCAGTCATCTTGAGAAAAAGAACAGAGTGGGAGGGATCACTTTACCAGATATCAAACTGTACTATAAGGCCATTGTAATCAAAACAGCCTGGTATTTGTAAACCAGACATATAGATCAATGGAACAGAACAGAGATCCCAGAAATAGACCCACGCCATTATGGTCAATTAATATTTGACAAAGGAGACAAGAGCATACAATGGAGAAAAGACAACCTCTTCAATAGATGGTGCTGGGAAAATTGGAGAGTTACATGCAAAAAAATGAAACTAGACCACTAACTTTCACCACACACAAAAATAACTCAAAATGTATAAAAGACTTAAATGTAAGTTGTGAAACTATAAAAATCCTGGAAGAAAACATGGGCAGTAAAGTCACAGACATCCCACGTAGTGGAATTTTCACTGATACATCTCCTAGAGCAAGAGAAACAAGAAAAAAGAAACATATGGGACTACATCAAACTAAAAAGCTTCTGCACAGCAAAAGAAAACAACCTCAAAATACAAAGGAACCCCACGGCCTGGGAAAACGTATTTGCCAAGGATGTATCTGATAAGGGGCTAACTTCCAAGGTGTACAAAGAACTCATGCTACCCAGCAAGAGGAAGACAAACAATCCAATTAAAAAATGGGCAAAGAACCTGAATAGACACATCAATGTTTCTTGAGCATGCTAAGTATGCTTACTTCATAATCTTTGATCTTGCTTGTATCTCTTGATGGATCAGTCTCAATGTGTTTGAATGTTTCCTTCTCAGTAAGGCCTTTCCTAATCATCCTAGATAGGAGAGCATCCCTCTTCCTCTTTTCCTGTTCTGTATTTCATTATTTTTGCTCTAATCTTAATTTTTCTTATTTTTTTTCTTCCTTCTGCTAACTTGGGCTTAGTTTGTTTTTCTAGTTTCTTGAGGTGTAGTTAGGTAATTTATATGAGGTCTTCCTTGGATTTTTAATTAAATTTATTTGAGTGGCATTGGTTAATAAAATTATATAGGTTTCTGGGATACAAATCTATGATACATCTGTATATTGCATTGTGTCAAATCTTCCGCCACCATATATTTGACCCCCTTTACCCTTTACTACCCCTCCCCACCCCCGTTTCCTATGAACATTTCTCTTAAAACTCTTTTTGCTATGTCCTGTAAGTTCTGGTTTGTTGTGTTTTCATTTTTGTCTCAAGATACTCTTTTATTCCCCCTTTATTTTTTTCTTTGATCTGTTGGTTGTTGAGAATCTTTCTTAACTTCCATGTATTTGTGAGTTTTCCTCCTATTATT